AGTGCAAGTGGGAGACTGAAGGAAATATGCCCTAGAGGTAATAATAAAGTTATTATTTATTTCCTTATATCATGATAAATGTTTATTATTCATGCTAGAATTGTATTAACTGGAAACTTAGTACATGTGTGAATACATAGACAAACTGAGTGTCACTAGTATTCCTCTACTTGACTAGCTCGTTAATCAAAGATGGTTAAGTTTCCTAGCCATGGACAAGAGTTGTCATTTGATGAATGGGATCACATCATTAGAGAATGATATGATTGACTTGACCCATCCTTTAGCTTAGCACGATGATCATTTAGTTTACTGTTATTGCTTTCTCCATAACTTATACATGTTCCTATGACTATGAGATTATGCAACTCCTGGATACTGGAGGAACACTTAGTGTGCTATCAAACATCACAACGTAACTGGGTGACTATAAAGATGCTCTACAGGTGTCTCTGATGGTGTTTGTTGAGTTGGCATAGATCGAGATTAGGATTTGTCACTCTGTGTATTGGAGAGGTATCTTTGGGCCCTCTCGGTAATGCACATCACTATAAGCCTTGTAAGCAATGTGAATAATGAGTTAATTATTGGATGTTGCATTACGGAACGAGTAAAGAGACTTGTCGGTAACAAGATTGAACTAGGTATTGAGATACCGAGATCGAATCTCGGGCAAGTAACATACCGATGACAAAAGGAACAACGTATGTTGTTATGCGGTTTGACCGATAAAGATCTTCGTAGAATATGTAGGAACCAATATGAGCATCCAGGTTCCGCTATTGGTTATTGAACGGAGATGAGTCTCGGTGATGTCTACATAGTTCTCGAACCCGTAGGGTCCGCACGCTTAACGTTCAGTGATGATCGGTATTATGAGTTTATGTGTTTTGATGTACCGAAGGTTGTTCGGAGTCTCGGATGTGGTCACGAACATGATGAGGAGTCTCGAAATGGTCGAGACATAAAGATTAATACATTGGACGGCTATATTCGAACACCAGAAGTGTTCCGGATGGTTTCGGATAAAACCGGAGTGTTGGAGGGTTACCGGACCCTCCCCCCTCCCCCCAGGGGGGGGGCTAATGGGCCTAGATGGGCCTTAGTGGAGAGAGAGAGAGAGGGGCTGCCAGGGCAGGCCGCGCACCCCCTCCCCCTTGAGTCCGAATTGGACTAGGAAGGGGGGCGGCGCCCTCCTTTTCCTTCCCCTCTCCCACTCCTTCCTTCCCCCTCCTAGTAGGACTAGGAAAGGATGAATCCTACTCCTACTAGGAGGAGGATTCCTCCTCTCCTTGGGCGCCCCAAGGGCCGGCCGGCCTCCCCCCTTGATCCTTTATATACGGTGGCAGGGGGCACCCTAGGACACACAAGTTGATCTCTTAGCCATGTGCGGTGCCATCCTCCACAGATTTCGACCTCAGTCATATTGTTGTAGTGCTTAGGTGAAGCCCTGCATCGGTAACTTCATCATCACCGTCATCATGTCGTCGTGCTGACAAAACTCTCCCTCGACACTCAGCTAGATCTAGAGTTCATGGGACGTCACCGAGCTGAACGTGTGTAGATCACGGAGGTGATGTAACTTCGGTGCTAGGATCGGTCGGATCATGAAGACGTATGACTACATTAACTGCGTTGTCATAACGCTTCCGCTTACGGTCTATGAGGGTACGTAGACAACACTCTATCCCCTCTCGTTGCTATACATCACCTAGATGGATCTTGCGTGTGCGTATTTTTTTTTTGAAATTACTGCGTTCCCAAATAGTAATGCACTCGGAGACGAAGGGAGGAGCGACCATCACCGACGGTCGAATATATACACCACGTGAGCTGAGAGTTTTCAAGAAAAGACTCGACAGACCGATAGTCAACCCGTGATGAATAATAATGATCTAATTTAGTTTTGTAGTATATATATTTAATTGTACAAGTTTAATCTTTGAATTATGAACATAGAAAATGTTGTCCATGTCGTCGTCGGATGACGAAAGTCTCCCGGTGGAGTGCGACTGGTGCGGCGACGACCGGGGTCTATGCGACAGGCCTCACCTGGTAGAAGGTCGACGCTTCAGCATTAAGCTCCAAGAGACCTTCGATGTTGAAACGGTACGCAACAATGACAAGTGTTTTTTTCGTAATTAAGCACGACTTCCGCTTCTTCAACGTGTAAGTTTCGTATTTTACAATTCGATTAGCTTATCCCATGCCATGCAAGACACTATGTCTTGGAGAGGACGAATTTTGAAGATCATGAAAGTATGGAAACAAATATAATTCATCGTAAGGACCCATCATGGTATGGATTTTGATATAAATCTATACAATTCTGAGAGTGTAACCCATTTTGGTTGCCCGAATTGGGAAGCACTTTGCAAGACGTATGATTTTCATGAGGATATGCTTGTCACCATGGATCTTGGTGATCCTGACATCGGCGAAGACAATATGGACATTTGGGTCCTTGTTGATACACTTCTACCGCTATGTGAGTTTATCAAACATAGTTATTAAGCAATTTATATTATTTATTTCAAAATAGTTGACAGCTTATTTCCATTGATAGCTTATTTTCATTCTACAAAGAATGTGCGGAAGATGGTAGACAGAACCTACTACACCGATGGCTCAGAATTAACTTATCAGGGAAAAATCATGTGCCACTAGTGCATGTGTTGAACTACGGTAACATCCATGGAGATGCCATGGAAAGATTTTTTTTACTATTACGACATTCATGAATCTTTTGCATAAATTCTTCTAAAACTCAACTACATTGCTAACTACGAAGTTATTACTATGTTTTCAACAGAAAACCCCGAATGATTGTTGCCTCATCTGATATTTCCGAAAGGTCGCCTTGATGTTATGAGCTTACGGCCAGGTCATCCTACGCATCACTGTTGTTCATACCGGATTTCTAAAACCGATGGAGACATGACAATCTTTGATTGGAAAAAATGTATGATTAATCATAGGGAGCTACTTGGAAACAACATTGTGCGAAGCGCAAGAATTGGAGACAGGATAATCTTCATTCTCCATAATGAAGGGCCAGGGCCTATCTTGTTTTATACTATTTTACCTAAAAGAGGGTAGTAGGTCCTATGAGAGAGGATCAGGTCCTTGGTACAATGTGTTATTATGTGCTACAATGTGTTAGAGTTGATGATGATGAGGAGGAGTTGTGATTATGACTAGTGACCAACTTGTTATATGATGTCTCATTGATAAAATTGATCATGAGGAGGTGTTATATGACAATGATGTAGTATGATGATAAGTTGTTAATGATATGATGATGATGACAATGCTTTATTATATCATTGGGTGAAAGAACCGCGGATTAGTTTCAAGTGGATGGATCCATCCACTTGAAACTAGTCCACGGTTCTTTCATCTAGTGATGTAATAACTCATTGTGATGTAAAAACAATCTATAAATTGCTACTGCATGAAAACTTGTATAATGGTGTATGAATACGACATAAAATGAAGAAAAAAATAATACGCAATAATAGTAGTAGCGCAGGCTCAGAGGCGCGTTGCTAGTACTTACCAGTAGCGCGTTACGAAAAAATCGATACTACTAAGTACTTATAACAGTAGCGTGTGTTGACCAATACTACTGCTAACCTTTAGCTGTAGCGTCTTATCAATAGCGCGGCATCTCGCGCTACTACTAGGCCAAAAACCCACGCTACTGCTAGGCTTTTCCCTAGTAGTGAAGAACCATAACCCTAACCCCAACATAACAAGAACCATAACCCTAACCCTAACATACTAAGAAGCCTAACCCTAACAAATGCCAAACAATCATCTCATATTTTCATACATATTTCAAAATCCATGAAAAACTAGGGTTTGCCCAAACATGATAGACTTGAGCAAATGTGAGCATTTTTTCAAATGAAAAGGAATCGGAGGAAATTATCTTAAGGGAGAGATTGAGGTTGAAATCCACGAAGAAAAATCTTCAAATCTGCAAGATTTAGTGAGGAATTTAAGAAGTGAGAGAGAGAGAGAATCGCGTCCAGACGTCCTCTGTTCAAATGCTCTTGGAGTTTGTATGGGGACTAGGCTAGGAAGGACCGGCCGCGGCGGTTAGTAAGTGCACGTGTAGCGTCTTTTGTCTAGGCGCTACACAAAGCAGTGTAGCGCATGTCGGCTAGACGTTGTACAACTAGAGTGAGGTGGGCCCTTGCCCAGCCTCAGGGTGCCACACCGCAGGCGTGTAGCACCTATTAATCAGCCACTACACAAGAGGATTAGTTGGGTGAAAAAGTTTCACCCTTTTTTCACCCTTTGTGAATTAGTGGCGTTTCGAGGTTATTTTTGCCCATTTTGCCTCGCGAAGTTGTTGCTTGTCACGTCAAAATCAGAGGAAAGAAGAGGCGAGGGGTCCTTGTCCCGTGCAGAATCCCATCACCGATTCCACGGCACTGCACACACGTATGGCGCCGGTGCAAACTTTCCTTGTTTGGACCGTTCCACGCTGGCTTCAGCGACCCAACGACAAGATGTCCCATCCCGTCACGGAGCACGTTCGTGTACACCAACTTCTCGCTGAGCATATAGCATGTTTCCTTCGTTTTCCCGTGAACATGTGTACTAGTATCTCTGGTTAGGGGAGAACAGTGTTTTTTCTGTGCAGGACAACCGTTTTTTTTTTTTTTTTTGCTCGTTAGAAAGAGAAGACGGAGATCCAATTACAGGATAAAGCTTTGCTTGGACGATTAGCACACAGTGGTGCCGTAGGTAATCTCCACAGAGGTATGAAAAGTCTGAACCGAGAGCTGTGGGAGATGGATACATGATGAGTACAATTACATCTGAAGAATATGGCAACAGTACGAGATGGCTTGTGATTCCTGTACATGCACCAGCACACATAGATCGTGTCGCGTTAGCTGACTTCCCGCCCCATCGATCTTCTAATTATTCGTTCTACTAAGTGCAGAATGGCTAACATCTAAGCAGCACGCATCTCCTGTTGATCATTAGGAGCTGCTGTCGCTGCTGCTGCTGCAGCTGCTTCGGCCTCCCTTTTCTGATCTCAACTGCTTGTTGTATCTGTCGAAGAACTCCTTGTTCTCCTTCTCCAGCTCTTTCCATACTGCAAGCACGCCAACTCAGCGTCAGTACAGATAAGTGTATTCCTGCTGATCAGAGGAAGTAACTGATTTGAGACGGACCGACCTGTGGAGGTGACGACCGGCTGAACGTCGGCGCGCTTGGACAGCGCCTCCATGCACTCCTCCATGCTCATCCCGAACGTCATGCACTTCTCTATCAGATGGTGAACCTGCAAATTAAAAATCCCACCTTAATTAGTTGACCAATTCTGATGTCGACGTGAGAAATCAATGTCCTGTGCATGCTGATGCTGGTGATCATCTATCTGCTAGCTAGAACTAGAAGAACCAAGGGAGCAGCAGACCAAGGTACGAATTAGGGGATGGGAAGACGACGATTGTAGTAGCACATACCATGCGGATGTAGGAGGCCGGAGAGTCGTCTCCCAGGGCCATATTGTATCTTCTTCCTCTTCCTCGATCGTAGTCGTAATCTGAGGAACCGTGTGTGTATGGGGTTGTGTGGTGATAAGGCGTGCAGAGTCGACGGGGGAGGAACCTATTTATACATGCACCATGGATGAGGACACCGCGTCGCCCGCCGGCTCCCTGGGCCGGGTCCATGGACCGGCGTGCGGCGTTTCTTCCCCCCGGCGGCGTGACTCAGCGGGCCGGCGTATGGACGTGGCGCGCGGAGGCTGGGGCCGCAAATGCGGGCGGGTGCGTTCACGTGGGCGCCGGCAGGGGATTGGAGGAGAGGCGATTCGCCGTGCGAGAGATCGGAAAGGGATGTGGAGATGGTGTGGCAAATATCTCATCCCTATCCCGTCGTAGGCTCGGCTGTCCGCTTCCAGGTCGTCCATGCCATGCCCGAAGAAGGGTCCGGGCGTAGGAAGAGGCTGGGCGGACACGCACCTCGTGCCTTCACGTGCCACCTGGCCCCGCCGGCCACGTCGCGACGGCCAACGTGGGGATTCCGGATTCCACGCCGCTCTTTTTCTTTCATTCTTTCTGGCCCCTGTGCTGTTCCCCTCGCCGGCTCGGCTCGCCTGAGGATCCTCAAGTGCAGATTCAGTCACTGGCAAATAGTGTGGTGTTGTAGTGGACGTCCCGCACGGTCGGGGTTTGTTGCGCGGTCAATTCGGTGTCATGGCGATGTGACGACGGTTCACTGTGTACTTCCACCGCAGAGAGCAGTGAGCATCGCAACCAATCAAGCAATCATACTACTCACTCACGAAGCTTGCTGTGATGGCTAGCGCTAGAGGCGACAGCGTACGGTGGATCCCGCCGTCTCCCGGTGCACAACATGCATTGCATTGCATGGATGGAGCGGGGCGTGCGACGGGGCCCAGGACGAATCGGACAGACAAAATGCTTGCGTGGTGCGCGGGCAGGGGCTTGGGGCTTACATGGCGGGGTAGCTGTCACGCATGCACGCTGCCTCCCGCGCAGATCCGTCGGCCCCAAAATTTTCATTCAAATCAATTGGTCCCGGTTCGGAGTGGCTGCTAGTGCTGCCGCGGGCAGACTCGCAGTCACGCTCATCTGCGGTCTACTGCTCCAAGTCTTTTTTCTTGCACCAGACAACTATGCGAGCACGCATATACTCCTATTTCTTTTACTCCCTCCGTTTTTTAGTCTGCATATAAGATTTAATCAAAATCAAACTTTGTAAAAATTGACCAAGTTTATAGAGAAAAATATCAACATCTACGATACTAAAGCTATATGGTATGAAAATTAATTTCACGATGCATCTAACAATGTTGATTTCATATTGTGGATCTTGATATTTTTTCATATAAACCTAGTCAAAGTTAACAATGTTTGACTTTGACTAAATCTTGTATGCAGACTAAAAAAAATGAATGGAGTATATGGAGTAAAGTTATTACCGAGCTCTTGCACTAGAACCTACTCCTTTAGTTAGTATAAAGTTGAGTCATCTATTTTGAAACGAAGAGAGTATGACACGAGAGACTCTGAGCTCTCCGTAGGAGGAGAGGTCGAATGAGATGGAACGCACATGGATATATAGCAATTTCATCATAATTAAAGTGTCGAACCCTTGAAGAGCAAAAATAATGGCAGTACCAACCTCACAACTGCGTTGTCGCTGATGCAACTACTCTAACATCCAAACAGGAGTCGGGAAATACGGTAGACTACTCTAGTCGGTTGCTAGGGGAAACGATAAAAAATGAGATTAAGCGAAGTACTAGAGTGAACAAAAATAATTACTCTCTTTGATGAAAGAAAGTGTTGTGGCTTTAGTTCAAACTCAGGGGATGAAATAAACTATGAAGAGTTAATGCGATGTTTTAGATGAATAATTTTGATGTCTAAGCGCGGCCTAGTTCCGCCCGCGGCGTTGAACTATCAACTACCAACACATCATGGCTGGGTCAGTACCGTGCATTTTAGGATACATGCAATCTAACCCGTATCTTATAGTCGAAGGAATATATTTAACATTAAAAAGCATCAAATCATTAGCAATAAACTAAACGATCATATTTTAAGCTAACGGATGAGTCTTGTCCATCACATTATTCTTCTAATGATGTGATCCCGTTATCAATTGACAACACATGTCTATGGTTAGGAAACCTTAACCATCTTTAATCAATGAGCTAGCCTAGTAGAGTCTTATTAGGGACACGGTATTTGTTTATGTATCCACACATGTATTTAAGTTTTTAATCAATACAATTCTAGCATGAATAATAAACCTTTATCATGAATAAGGAAATATAATAATAACAAGTTTATTATTGCCTCTAGGGCATATTTTCATCAGTTTCTCACTTGCACTAGAGTCAATAATCTAGATTATATTGTAATGAATCTAACACCCATGGAGTCTTGGTGTTGATCATGTTTTGCTCGCGGAAGAGGCTTAGTCAACGGGTCCTATATTCATATCCGTATGTATTTTGCAAATCTTTATGTCTCCAACCTTGACCTTTTCACAAATGGAGTCGAGACATCTCTTGATGTGTTTGGTTCTCTTGTTAAACCTGGATTCCTTCACTAAGGCAATTGCTCCAGTGTTGTCACAAAATATTTTCATTGGACCCGATGCACTGGGTATTACACCCAGATCGGATATGAACTCCTTCATCCAGACTCTTTCATGCGTTGCTTCCGAAGTAGATATGTACTCCACTTCATACGTAGATCCCACCACGACGCTCTATTTGGAACTGCGCCAACTGACAGCTTCACCATTCAATATAAATACGTATCCGGTTTGTGACTTAGAGTTATTCGGATCAGTGTCGAAGCTAGCATCGACGTAACCATTTACGACGAGCTCTTCGTCACCTTCATAACTGAGAAACATATCCTTGGTCCTTTTTAGGTATTTTAGCATGTTCTTGACCGTTGTCCAGTGATCCACTCCTGGATTACTTTGATACCTCCCTATCAAACTTATGGCAAGACACACATCAGGTCTGTTACACAGCATAGCATATATGATAGAACCTATGGCTGAGGCATAGAGAACGACTTTCATTTTTTCTTTATCTTCTGTACTGGTCGGGCTTTGAGTCTGACTCAATTTCACACCTTGTAATACCGGGAAGAACCCTTTCTTTGACTGATCCATTTTGAACTTCTTCAAAACTTTGTCAAGGTATGTGCTTTGTGAAAGTCCTATTAAGCGTCTCGATCTATCCCTATAGATCTTGATGCCCAATATATAAGCAGCTTCACCGAGGTCTTTCATTGAAAAATTCTTATTCAAGTATCCTTTTATGCTATCTAGAAATTATATATCATTTCCAATCAATAATATGTCATCCACATATAATATCAGAAATGCTACAGAGCTCCCACTCACTTTCTTGTAAATACAGGCTTCTCCGTAAGCGTATATTCCAATTCTGAGATGCTTGCACCAGTCCATAGATGGATCGCTGGAGCTTGCACACTTTATTAGCACCTTTAGGATCGACAAAACCTTCTGGTTGCATCATATACAATTCTCTTTAAGAAATCCATTAAGGAATGCAGTTCTGACGTCCATTTGCCAGATTTCATAATTATAAATGTGGCAATTGCTAACATTATTTGGACAGACTTAAGCATCTCTACGGGTGAGAAAGTCTCATCGTAATCAACTCTTTGAACTTGTCAAAAACCTTTCGCGACAATTCGAGCTTTGTAGATAGTGACATTACCATCAACATATGTCTTCTTCTTGAAGATCCATTTATTATTCTCAGTGGCTTGCCGATCATCGGGCAAGTCCACCAAAGTCCATACTTTGTTCTCATACATGGATCCTATCTCAAATTTCATGGCCTCAAGCCATTTATCGAAATCTAGGCTCGTCATAGCTTCTTCATAGTTCATAGGTTCGCCATGGTCTAATAACATAACTTTCAGGACAAGATTACCATACCACTCTGGTGCGGAACATGCTCTGGTCGACCTACGAGGTCTAGTAATAATTTGATCCGAAGTTTCATGATCATCATCATTAGCTTCCTCTCCAGTTGGTGTAGGCATCACGGGAACGGTTTTCTCTGATGTGCTACTTTCCAGTTCGAGAGAAGGTACAATTACCTCTTCAAGTTTTACTTTTCTCCCACTCACTTCTTTCGAGAGAAACTCCTTCTCTAGAAAGGACCCATTCTTGGCACCAAAGATCTTGCCTTCAGATCTGTGGTAGAAGGTGTACCCGATAGTTTCCTTAGGGTATCATATGAAGACGCACTTCTCCGATTTGGGTTCGAGCTTATCAGGCTGAAGCCTTTTGACATAAGTGTCGCATCTCCAAACTTTAAGAAACGACAGCTTAGGTTTCTTGCCAAACCATAGTTCATACGGTGTCGTCTCAACAGATTTAGATGGTGCCCTATTTAACGTGAATGCGGCTCTCTCTAATGCATAACCCCAAAACTATAGTGGTAAATCGGTAAGAGACATCATAGAACGCACCATATCTAATAAAGTACGGTTACGACGTTCGGACACACCATTACAATGTGGTGTTCCAGGTGGCGTGAGTTGTGAAACAATTCCACATTGTTTTAAATGAAGGCCAAACTCGTAACTCAAATATTCACCTTCCCGATCAGATCATAGAAACTTTATTTTTCTTGTTATGATGATTCTCTAGTCTCTACTTCACTATGAAATTCTTTGAACTTTCCAAATGTTTCAGATTTGTGTTTCATTAAGTAGATATACCCATATCTACTCAAATCATATGTAAAGGTTAGAAAATAACGATACCCGCCGTGGGCCTCAACACTCATCGGACCGCATGCATCGGTATGTATTATTTCCAATAAGTCATTAGCTCGCTCCATTGTTCCGGAGAATGAAGTTTTAGTCATTTTGCCCAAAAGGCATGGTTCGCAAGTATCAAATGATTCATAATCAAGTGATTCCAAAAGCCCATTCGCATGGAGTTTCTTCATGCTCTTTACACCAATGTGACCTAAACGGTAGTGGCACAAGTATGTTGCACTATCATTATCAACTTTGCATCTTTTGGCATCAATATTATGAATATGTGTATCACTACGATTGAGATTCAACAAGAATAGACCATTCATCAAGGGTGCATGGCCATAAAATATATTACTCATATAAATAGAACAACC